TGTCATTTTAATTGGTTTGTGTTCTTGGTCCTATTTTGTGTTTTCATAATTATGCCTTCCTCTGTTTTATTCTGTAAAAGCTTGGGTGTGGTCATTCTTATCTTCACTCCTTTGTATTGCTTTGAGTATCCTTGTTGGACTGGTTTGGTGGGCATGGATTCTTTCAGCCCATTTGTGCCTTGTAAAATTTTCCATTCCCCATTAAGTATAATACATAGCTTTGCTGGATAAAGTATTTGAGTTTGGCACCCATGGTAGTTTAGAACAGGGAATACTTTGGTCCATACTCTTCTGGCTTTGATAGTTTGCATTGAAAATCAGCTGTAATTCCAATGGGTTTTCTTCTATAAGTAACTTGTTTTTCTCTAGCAGCTTTTAGTACTCTCTTTTTATTCTGTACATTTAGTGTTTTTACTGTGATATGTCTTAAGGAGTTTCTGTTTTGGTTCTTTCTTATTGATGTTCTATGTGCTTCTTGAATTTGTATAGGTATTTTTTTCTTTAATTTCTGGAAGTTTTCATCTATAATCTTGTTGATGATCAAGTTAGTGCTATTTATCTGGTATTCTTCTCTTCCTATGTGCCTAAGATGTGTACATTTTGTGAATTCATGTTGTCCTATGGGTCTTTTTTTAATAGTGTTTTCTTAAGGAGTCTAGTTCTTCAACTTTCTCACCCATTATTGATATTCTGTTTTGTATATCATTCATTCCACTTGTGAGGCTTTCTCTTGTCGTTTCAAATTGATTTATGGAGTTTTTCAATTTTATCTTCATTTTGACTTGGGTTTTCTTCAATATTTCTATTTCTTTTGTGAGTTCATTTTTCAAATCTTGAATTTTTTATTTATTCAGCCACATGTTTTTAATTTCTTTAGTTTCCCTCATAAGTTTATGCCTATCCTCTTTGAATTCTTTAAACTGTTTTTTTTCTTTAAATTTTTCATCACGTTTACAATTGCTCTTTTAAATTATGCATTGAGAGTTTCCTCAGTATGATTCTCATTGTAGTATTCTTCTGTAAGACTGGTGGGTTTTGTTGGGTACATGTTCCCTTGGGTTTTCATATTGTTTATATTTTTGTCTTGAAGTTTAGGCATATGGATGTCTTTTGTTGATTGTGCAGATGATAGGAAATTTTATTCTGCCTTTGTTGAATTTTTGTTCTGTTTGTATTTCTGATGTGGCTTGGTTGCTTTTAGCTCGAGTATGAAAAGTTAGTTGGTGTGTGCTTCATATTTTTGCAGGGTAGTAGGCTGATCTGGGTATTAGTTGGTATTGTGGTAAGGCAAATCAGGAGAGGGGTCCCAGGGCAAGTTGGAGATGATGACAGCCTATGTAGAGTCTAATTGAGGAAGCTGGAGAAATGATCTAGCACAGATGCAAGGGATCAGCATACAGTGGGCAGGTCTGGACTAAGAGGGTATACCAGAAATCTGAAGGAGAAGAGAAGAAGCAGGACTGGTCCCATGGGTAGAATGTGGAGGGGGTGGGGTGATTGGAGGTGCTCAGCTTGCAGGCAAATCACAATGCAGTGAGAGGGACTGACATACTAGGGTAATGGGTAGGCCAGTCTGTGTCAGACAAATCAGGAGGCCAAGGGAAAGTAGGATTGAGAACAACCTGGTGAGGGTCTAACAAACTATGCTAGAGGATTAAGCTAGTCTGGGTTAGGAAGCTAGTCAAGAAATCTGAGGCAGAAGAGCAGGAGCAGCCTGGGCCCAAGGCTAGAATTGGAGCTATGTGTGTGTGTGTGTGGGGGGGTGTGTGTGTGTATGTGTAAGGGGGAAGGTTGGAGAGATTGGAGGTGCTCAGGCTACAGGGGAATCAAATACAATGGGATTTAGTGATTTACAAGGGTATTGGGGCCACCAGTGTGTAGTAGGCCCATCAAGAGTCCAGGGTAAGTTGGGGTTGGAGATAGCCTTTGGAGTTGTAACAAACTATACTACAGGATTATGCTATTCTGGGTTAGGAATCTAGTTCAGAGATCTGAGGTGGAAGAGCAGGTGTGGGCCTGGGTCCAGGCTATAAGGAGGATAGGGTGTATTGTGAGTAGAGATTGGATGGTGCTTAGGGTACATGAGAAACAAGACATAGTGGGTCAGACTGACTTACTAGGGTAGCAGGCAGACCATTCTGTGTCAGACAGATCAGGAGGTCAGGGGAAGATAGGGGTGGGGCCATCATGTTGGGGATCTAGCAAATTACACTAAAGGATTAAGCTAGTCTGGGTTAGAAAGCTGGTTCAGTAACCTGAGGCAGAAGAGCAGGAGCAGGCCCGGGTTCAAGGATAGAAGGGGGACAGGATGGAGGGCAGATATTGGAGGTACTTAGCCTACAGGGAAATTAATAATTTAAAATTTGACGATTGGAATTTTTGTTTAGATTTATGAGTACTTATCTTCTACTTTTTGAATGACATACTGAGTCTACTTCTGTCAATATAATCATGGGTGTGAAATGAAACACTGGAGCATGGGCAGCTTACCAGGGGCCATATCCCTCAAGGAAATTGATGCTATCTACTCCACTGCCATCAAATGCCAGTAACTCAGTGAGCCCCTCTCCTATCCAGGTAGAATGTTGACTAGATTGATATGATATAGATCTTGGGCAGGTAAAACCAGAATTGTTGTAAGACCATGTGTACAAGACACTATTTCACAACAGTCTTCCTTGTCTTTTGGCTATTAATATTGGTCTCTCCCTTTTGCTGCAATTTTCCCTGAGCCTCATGGAAGGAGTGTAATACAGGTGCTCCATTTAGGACTGAACATTCCACAGTTGCTTATTGTCACTATTTTAACTTTGAGTTGTTCATCTTTGTATTAACCACTGTCCACTGCAAAAGGAAGCTTCTCTGATGAGGTTAGGTGAGCTGCCCTAGCATATGGGAATAAGTATTTAGAAGCAGCTTGATATTATTTGTATTTAGTAAATTTTAGTAGTATGCTCTCCACTATCAATACGGGCTCTTCCATTGCTCTTGGATCCCCACAGAAATTGATGGTAAGACCTTATTGCTGAAGATACCACAAACTTTGTTTGTAGAGAAATCAATTTGGTACTGATATGGAAACTTTCTCCCTGATAGTTAACTTTCATAGTACCAGAAAAGGCTATACAGACTGTTGGTGGGTAAAAAATTCCTCAACAGTCTGACTCATCTGTGAACACTGAGAACTAAAGTAATTACTGGCCTGACAAGATATGCCAATTGATAAAATGGTAGCATGGGGGCTATGGAGGTCACCATCCACTTTGTGATTGAATTAAAGGCCTGCTCTGCAGGAAGGAACTTATGCTGGTCCTGTAAATTTTTGGAAAAATCCCGGGCTGACAAAGCTACACTGTATGTTTTAATCCACTCGCTGATATTTTTTGTTAATTCTTGCTTTTTACATTGTCTCTCCAAATGCTTATACTCATGAAATAAATTTTAATTATATTTATATATGAAAATGAGAAAATTTGTATATATATATATATATATGTATAGATAGATACTTTTCTCTTATGACATCAGCAAATGTATTTTCATTACCAAAGTAAATTGTGGGAGTTGGAGTGATGGCTCAATGACTAAAAGCTCTGCCTGTTCTCCAAGACAACCCAGGTTGGAATCCCTGCACCCACATGGAGCCTGCCAACCATCCATAACTCCAGTACTTGAGGATCTGACATCCTCTTCTTTCCTCCTCAGGCACTGCAATGGCATGGGTGCACTTACACACATGTAAGTATAACACTCAAACACATAAAATAAAAATAAACAAATCAAAAAAGGAAATTGTGTTGCAATGTTTATCAATAATATTTATGGAAAATAGTTATTGAGAAGAAATATTTCTTTAAATCTAATTTATTCAAAAATTACTTTATTGAAAACCGTTGTCTCTTTTCATTATTTTACTTCCAACGAAAATGATGAAACCAGTAGTTTTGAAATAAAAAAATATAGTAATAAATTTGAATTGATAATTACCAATCGTCCGATTCAGAGCACTTTCCCTCATTTTATGGAGCCTTAAACATAGGGGAAACATATGAGCCCACCTATTTAGCTGCCTTGTCTCTTAGAGAAACAATTAAAATAAGTGATTTGATGAACCATAACAAACAATAGGGTAGTAATATTGCAAGTTCTTCATTCATTGTCTCTCTCCAGTTTTCTTGGAGATTTTGTGTGCAGTGCAAAGGGGACTACAGAGCATTGTGAAATATAGATTCACAGGACTCTAATGCATCAGGCTTCTCTACATGAGGCCTCAGGAATTTTTATTTCAAATCCTCTAAATGACCCTTTGAATACTACCTAATGTTTACTCAAGGAGAAATCACATTTAAGGGATACACAAGAAGGGTTGAGAAATGGCTTATTGATCAAGGGCACTAGCTGCTCTTGTGGAGGATCTATTTTTGGTTCCCAGAACCCACATGGTAGCTAAAAACCATCAGTAGCTTCAGTTCTAGGGGTGCTGACACCTTCTCCTGTCCTTCATATGCATTATACATGTGGTGTGTTTACCTACGTGCAGGCAAATCACTCATACATGTAAAATAAAAATAAAGGAGATTCACAAGAAGAGGAAAGGCAGATGTAATACAAAAAAACAGAGTTGTGGATATGAAGAGATTACAGTGGTGAACACTCCCTCTGTTTGCAAAAGGCCTGGTTATGATTCCTAGCACCCACATTATGGAGCGCACAACTACCTTCAGCTACAGTTTCGGAGGGATACAATGCCCTATTTTAGCCTCTGCAGGCACTTTGAAGCATGTGGTGTACATAAATACATTCAGGCACAATCACGTACACATAAAATCAATCATTCAAACAATCATCTTAAACATTACTTTATGGCCGCGAATAATTAACTAAGAATTAGAACGGGGACACCTTCATCGATGATTTTACTAAATGCCAAGGAACAATGTTAATTCCGAGCAGTACTCCTGCAGTTTGGCCTTTGGGGTAGCCCCCATGTTCAGAGGCTGTTAAAAACATTTCCTCTGAACCACAAATGCCCCATATTCTTTGAAATCCTCAGAGGTAACCCACATCTGCTTGAATGTGCTCAATGAAGTCATGACAGATCCTCCAATCCAAGCTGAAAAGCATCTATCTGGAGAAGCCGTGATCTTGATCAGAGTTCCCTTAAACGCTAGAACTTCCAGTTCTTTCAGGAGCCTATCCTGCAGCTCGGGAAACAAGGTGGTACCTCCAGACAGCACAATCTCTGCAAAAAGGTTCTCCTGGATGTCAGGGTCACACTTCATGATGCTATTGCAGACCATTTTTGAGAGTCCTAAGTCATGAATGCCTAGATGATCAGGTGTAAAAAGAACCTCAGGCACCTCACACAGGTGGTCGCCCATCTGGATGACATTCCCATCTGGCAGTTTGTATTCCTTCAGGGATGGCTGATCATGCTTGCATGGCTCTCCTTTGTGTTCCCAGGAGATAACACACACCCTTTCTTTAATGTCATCTACCACTGCTTTGTTGAGGATGCAAGGAAAAGTGTACCCTTCAGCAAGAAGGAGTCGAGTAAGATGTTCCGTGATGTCACTCCCTGCCACATACAGTTTGGAAACGGCATGTGGCAGGGAGTGGCCCTCATAGATGGGGACAGTACAAGTGACCCCATCCCCACTGTCCACCACCAGTCCGGTGACACAGGCAGAGGCACATAGGGCTCCTACTGCGTGGTTGCAAAGGTACAATGCAGGCACGTTGAATTTCTCGAACATTATTTCTGTGGTCTTCTCTCGGGTCTCCCGTGGGTTCAAGGAGGGCTCTGTCAAGAAGACTGGCTGCTCACTGGGTTTCACTCCTAGCTCCCACTCAAAAAGATCTTTCCACAGTTTTTCCATGTCATCCCATCTTGTTATCAGTCCACGTTCAATAGGGTAGTGCAAGTATAAGCCATCATACATGCACTGGGCTTCTTCTCCCACAAAGCACCTCTTGCGATTGGTTCTTGCTGATGGTATGTTCAATTTTGGGTGGCCAACAACAGAGTTTATTACGTGTCTGGGTCCACTCTCCCCTGAAAAGCCAATTTTGCAGAGTCCAGAACCGTTGTCAAAAATTACAGATGGCTCCTCCAAAATGTCTTGATTAAACATGACTGGATTCGATCTTCTGTGCTTCACCAAGAGAAAGTGTAATTGGGCTACTTGGAGCTACAACTAGTACTTCAGATGTTCACAGCTCACAAGCGTAGTATGTCCTTAACCCATGAATGTTGTCTCCTTTCTGGTGGCCCAGAGCCTGCTGAGGCCTTTTCAGGGATGTTTGTTGCTTATGTCACAATGTAGCCATCACAATACCTGTGCTCCATCACAATCAGAGAGGTGGGGTCTCTTGAGTCAGTATTACTTCCTCTTCAGTGAGAGATAAAGCACTGAAGGCAAGCCATCACTAAACCAAAGTTTATATACTAGCCTGTGATCACAAACCAGAGGTCTAGTTTTATAATAAACTAAAATTCCTCGTTCCAGAAATAAACCTTCTTCCTTCCATTGTATATAAAATGGAATAGCTTTTTTCATATAAATTTATGAATATATATTATATAATAGAC